TTTATGAGCTCCTCGTACTTCACGATCTGCTCGGCCAGGCTGCGGTGCGCATCAAACCGGACGCCAGCCAACTGCGACATCAAAGCAAGTTGTCGCTATTGCGTGGCTGGTTGCTTTTCTCCCACCAAGACCTTCCAGGCCGCGAACCCACTGTTAGAGGAAACACCTCTAACCAGCTTTGCCGGTCGCTGCCTCACAAAGGGAAGCAGAATGGCGTAGAGCTCGATGCTGCGCTTGCGAACAGCAACATCCATTCATATCCATTCCATCCACCGTGGACGGCCACGTCGGGGTAGCCTCGATGGTCTCCATGTCCTCATGTGCTTCCATTCGCTCCATTGCTCCACTTCTTGCCCGCGCGTCTCGGGCCGGAAGATATCCGGCTTTTGTATCAATGTGCGAAGCACATCGCTTCGCCGATAATTCTCGGAGGTCTCGAGGGACGGCCTGCGCCGCTTGCGCAGCCGCTGCTGCAGTGGCAGCTCCAGCTGACATCTTTTCAAGGAGCGGGGCAAAGGGCCCTGGCTCCCGACCAAGTCAGCACCAGACACGCCCTGGCTCGCGCCGCCACCACCGATCTTGTAATTGGCGAAGTCCTCGGTCGCCTCGGTCACAAATCCGACGCAGAAGTTGGAGCCCCGGCCGGCTGCAAAGCAGCCGCCGCAGCTGCCCAAGGCAACTTCAAGAAGAAACGCAGCACGCGATGCACTATGAAGCTCAAGGCTCGCGGGGTCCTGCCGAGGGGCCCTACGGTGGGGATTCGGGTCCTGTCCCCTGACGATGGAGCCCCACACCTGAGATTCCAGGAATCAGGATCGTAGCGCCTCCGCTACCATGTAAAAGCACAAAATGTGCTTCGATCTTTTGCTCCGAAACGGCTCGACGAGATCTCATGATTCAGCTCTCATGCCACTGCACACTTGACAATGGCTCTGTACGCAAGGCAACGAAAGAGGTAAAGAGAGGCCTGGGAGGATTTACAGATACATTCGTACCCTAGAGTTTGACACGACAAACAAAGGTGCCTCGCAGGATTCCAATTCCAAGCTTGAGCTGGCTGCCGTGACAATCATTGGCTGTGGACGCGCTCGGCTCAAGCGCCAGTGGTATGAATGCATGTTTCAAGTGTAAAGCCTAGCATCACAAGCAGCAACGGGGCCCATACAGTGTGGAGTGCTAGGAGGACGAGCCAACATGAACGAAGTTTAGACAGTCGTTCATATGACATGAGCTTCTGCATTTATGTGCCTCACGCAGTTTCGTGAATAAGCATGACAGTTTGGTTATGATTCACCGCGGCCTTGCTCAACAACTTTAATCCAACTTGGTGCTTGGGAAGCGTTGCGGCCCAGCTCGCAATGAAAAGGCGACGTCCAAAGTCCTGTCTTCCTGATCCCGACAGCAACCGGACCAAAAAAAAGGCAAGCGGGGCAAAAATGAAATGGAAGCGCGGCAATCTTCTTTCTTGACCATTGTGCTGCAGTTGGGTACTGTTTCAGTGCACATTTGCTCGGACCAATACCATACCGAAGCCATGTTTGGACACTTTGCCAGGTCCAACTAGTAGCGGCACTTCGAAAAGCTTGCGATCCAGGCAGGACTGGTTGCAAGTGGCTTCTACTCAGTTGACAACGGAGGGAAACTCGTAAATAGAATTGACTTTTTGACGTGCAAACGTAGTGAACAACCGAGCTTGCAATCGCAGGCTCTTCCCTACAAGCTCCGTGGGATTAGTATCAGATTCAAGGCTTTCCACGGTGGTCAGGTGTTGAAGCGTCAGTGAAAAGGCGAAAGAGAGAAGGTAGAGACAGACAGAGTGAGCGAGAGAACGAGTGCATGTGTCCTGAAGCGGAAGCAAGAGCAAGCAGAGAGAGGCGTGCAGCTTTGCTTCGAGATTTTGCGGGAAGAAGAACGAGGGAGAGAAAAACAAGGGTGGGAACCAGGGAGGTCGGATACGTTGATGTTATGCTGGAAGTCCAAAATGCAGCACTCCTGGGCTGCTGTGTGTTGTAGTGTCTGTTTTGTTTGTTTTTTCATCACCGTATCCCAGTTGTTTTTCTGCCCTCTCCTTTCCTACCCTGGGGTTTGGGTCACTCTTTCCTCTATCGTTTTTCCCACTCCGCAGTAGCAGTCGCATGCGCGAAGCAGTTATGTGGCCTTTGTTCTTGATTTTTCTCTGTCTTAGTGCTTTTTCATTGTTGTTTCAGGTAGTCTTCGTTTTGTCTTACTTGGGTTCCAACATAAAGCCATCATTCGGGACTTGTGGCTAAGCCAATGTTTCAAGGGTTGTTTATCTCAGGGGCTTGCTTGCTTGAATTACCTCGCTCAAACTCTAATTCAACCTGATCCAACACTCCAAACTCAATTCTGTTAACTCTACTTTGCCGCAGACCCATCTGTTACCCTATTTCTTGGCATCTAACAAATCCTCTTACTTTGATACAGCAGTTCTCCACCTAATGATTTTGGATAGCTATAGTCATTGTCCTTGAATGTTTGGCTCTCTCATCATAGAGCTGACTCTCATAGTTCAACATTGCATTCAAGGGAACCATTTCGTATGTAGTCTTTGTTCTGTTCCAGATGTCAGCCTGCCTTCTCTTCAATCGTTTCATGTTGTGCAAGTGCGCTTCGTGCTAGTGCACTTGATGCTAATGCACCGGGTGCTGGTTTGTGTGGTAATAGCTGTAACGGTTTAGTTGACTGACTGGTTTGTTGCATGGTTTTTGTTTCGGCTTTCATCTCTGACCGGTACTTCTTTTTCCAACATTTCATATCTCCCCATACGGCGCATCACTCATCATATCATAATTTAGACCCGTTTCTTGCACTCTTTAAGTCAAGTACTGAGCTAGGGCTTCTTCTCTTGATGTAGTCTAACGAGTCTAACCACCAATCAACAAATGTCGTGCATGTTATAGTTTTATCCAATCCGTCCCATGTATAGTGTCTTTCGCCCTCCCATTGGCTCCTATAAGCAATTGCTTGAAGTGTAGTTGCCCTAACCCTTTAGACGTGTTTCAGCTTTGTTCCCGACCTTCAGCCGTGAGATATTTCAAGTTTTCATTTTAATACAGAAATACACGTTGCTGTAAGATGGTTGTCGTCCTCATGTAGATCGTTGTGAGTCATCCCAGTCGTTGAAAGCTTCATCTTTCTTGTTACACCTGCCGCGTACAGCATGCTGACATGTCTCATTATCTAAGAAATATCGAAGCAGAGACCCAAGGAGTGAACCAGACTAGGAAAATATGAAGGGAAGGAGGCGACAAGGGGAGAAAACATGACAAGGCAACAAATGAAGCAGACACGACAACACAGCAGCCCAAACTCTGGCCCTTTAACACGTTTGTGGGTGTGGCCTCCAGAAGAAGGGAGAATGAACAGAGGGCAGAAGCGGAAAACTAAGAAAAGGGGCACGCACACCCATGGCATCAAGATGACGATTGTTCGTGAGCCAGAGAGGAACAAGATGAAGGGCAAACATGCAGGAAGGTGTGCGGACAGTGTGCAGAGGAGCGGGAGAAGCTGTTAAATCCAGTGGAGCTAGTGTTGAGGGCTGTTGTGCTTATGTGGGAGAAGCAGGGGGCGGTTGCAATCACTGGTGCAACTAAACCGCTAATGCATGTAAGCCCTTCACGCAGCCACACATGGGATCGCTGTCTATCGGACGACGCTCAGTGGAGGGTTGGATCCAGCCTCCTGCTTGCACGGCTAGACCCGCACGGACATCAATTTGCATGATGCCAGTTGGCTTTCGTTTGGCCTGGCTTGTTGTGGAGGGAGGCGGGGATCAAGGAGAGCATGTTGGAAGCCTCTGCCCAGCCAGCGACATTGCCAGCTCTTGACTGGCTTTGCGAGTATGTTTGGGGCCAGACAGAACTTGACATTGCCTTTACTTGTCTGTACCACGGGTTGGCTTGTTTTCCAGGCTTTGTGCCCTTCGGTGGCAGCCCACCTTGCCGCTCCATCCTCAGATTGTCCGCCCATTGTTGGAAATGTTTTAATTTCTGTGCGGAGCTTGGCTTACAGCGTTGCTGCGTTTGTCTGCGACACTCAGCAGTACGGTTTGAACGGTCTTTGCGCATTCGTGATGGCATTTGGTCTCAGAGCACTTGGCATGTCGTTGTGACGGTTCGCAGCACTGTGTGTCTTCTTGGCGATGTGTGAGTGTTTCCCCATGCCGCCACGACGCAGAACCCTACTGACCAAGGGTTTCAACGTGCAAACGGGGTGAGCCAGCAGGCCTTTCAACGTGCAAAGCCTTGGATGCATTTGTTGCAGCTGATGGCCAGGCCATTTGGACCATGAAGAAGCTTTGCGTGATCTTATCTGCCTTGCCCCAGAGCTTATTCGACGTGCAGAAGATTGAGAAGGATGTCGGCCTGGAGCAGGCTCGCTGTTGAGACATGGTAATCATCTACTTTATGTTTGGTTATTGGCAGGAATTCCGGAAGATCTGCACCACAAAAGCTGATGTCGTCAAGTGGTTCGACTTTGCACGAGCCAGGCGCTCAGTAGATCCTTGCTCAGCTTGAATAATCACCGCGTGAGTAGCTGAGGTGTTCCAATGCTTTAAACCAGATGTTTCCATTGAGGCCGGCAAACTTGCTTTTACTACTTGTGTCGAGTTTGTTGCGAGTGTTGGCCACGATTCCAAGGCTGTGTCCGAGATTTGGACCTTTCTTGGCGGGGGTGAGGCGGGAATCAGAGCCGTATGCTGTGAGTTGCAACAATGAACTTCTGATGGCTGCAGGAGCTCCCGCTACACATTTTTTTTCGGTATTGCCTCCCCGGAGGGGAGCACTTGCCCTTGGTGCGCCGGTCCCGTAAATGAATCTCCACGAAAGCCCGGAACTCAATGTGCTTAAGGTAGGATTCACAGGCACAACATGCGCAGATTAGGCATCTTGGCAAGTGAGGCGGCTACACCATGTTTCAGTGAGTCAAGCAGTGCTGCGCAGGTATCCCTTCTCTCCGTCGAAGAAGAAACGAGGAGGATGGCTTGCGCGGACCTCGAGGCAAAAGCCGGGCATGTGACTGCGTTTTGTTTGGGTGCTTGTCAGCATGTAGAGAAGGAACGCATGGATCCTACGTACAGCAGCCACTCAGAAGATTGACACACTGCCCACCAGTAAGCCTGGTCTTGTCCAGGTGAGGTGCGCGCTTGCAGACAGCCCCCAGCTTTCAACGCCTCGTCAAGTTAACCGGCCACCATAGGCTTGTAGGTGATTAGATACCTGGGCCCACCCACGCACCCAACCCCCCCCCCCCCCCCCCCCCCCCCCCCCCCCCCCCCCCCCCCCCCCCCCCCCCCCCCCCCCCCCCCCCCCCACCCCCCCCCCCCCCCCCCCCCCCCCCCCCCCCCCCCCACCCCCCACCCCCGCTTATTACACTTGCTTGATTTTGCTTACAAGACAGCGTTGAGTTTTCGCAGAGGTTTCCGCACTCGTACCGACTACGTCATTGCCTGTGCTGGTATTGCTTTGCTCACACTGTAGCCTTTGCGTTGTGGAATCTGAAAAGCGGGCCCTGCCAAGTCACGCCGCTGGGCACCAGCTTCGTGATGTGTTTTGTGGCAAGCCCTTGGAGGCGCATGCGTCGTCCCGGGCTGACTTGGCGAAGGCCGGAGCTTTGGGAGTTGCACTTGACAGTTGGTGGTTTGGACCTTTGCGCGTCTTGCTGAAGGATATCTGTGAGTTTCAGAACGAAAGCCGATCTGCCAAGGCTCATGCGGCATTGAAGGCAGAACACGCTGAGCTTGATCGAGCTTGTCTGAGCGTGGTGGTGCATTCCATGGCACTTGCCGCGGAGCAAGACCCTCCAGAACAGTCAGAACAGGTGAAGCACCCATCGCGTTCATGTGTTTGGTGTCGTGTGGAAGATGCTCATCATGCAATGGTCCCCTGTGGACACCTGTGTTATTGCCACGGCTGCGTGCAGAAGTTGAGAGGAGAGTGGAAAGAGAAGTGCCCGGTCTGTAGAGGCTATTACAGTCAGATTCTAAGAGTGTTTTCTTAGCACGCAGTTGATGATTGAGCCTTTCAGGAGCTCACGAGGAAGGCATAGACGGTTGGCTTTTTCTCCGAATCCTGAGTTTTTGTAGCAAAGGGCTGCGGGCTGCGGATATCCGTGAGTTTGCTAATTATGCAGTGTTTTCGATGGGCTGTTATCATCTACATCCCGCAGCCCTTGAAGGAAATTGGCATGCATTGCCCACCTCCTTTCAGGCAGGTTCAAGGAAGTTGATGGGGAATGGATACTTGTCACTGGACTTGGAGCGCCTGAACGGAGTTGTAGGCAGGTCATGCTCGCAGTTTCTATTGACATGGTCTTACGGGTGCTCTTTGGCTGAGTGGATTGCGCATTTGCGAAATGTCTTTTTAAGATATGGTCCTGTGCAACGACATGAGTTAAGCATGATGTGCCATTCACTGTGGGAGATCCCGGCTGAGCGCATTAACTAAAATAAAAATGATCGCCGAATGTGACTGTCCAGAGACATGCGGAGTTGTGACACGGTTAGAGGATTTCTTGGAGGAATTTCGAGATGCAGCGTAGAATAGAGACAACTTGCAACAGGTGGATGTGAACAACATCCGCCACTCTCACGACAGTGGACCTGCGTTTGGCGCATGGTTCACACAAAGGCTAGTCAGTCCAGACACTGGCGGAAGAGCTGATTTCTGGGAAGCTCACGCCCAGAAACATCACGACGCTGGTTCTGCCCACATATGCAAAGAGATAAAACATTAGACAATCTTTGGAAATAGTCGCCGGAAGGCAGCAGCAACAACATAACCAGAAGTAACAACTTTCAGCATTTTGTTGCTGCCATGTCCCGATGTTGGCAATGCCAGGCTGGAAGTGTCCTTCTGTGTGTTTTGATTTGTCGCTGGGCAAGTCGAGAACCCGGACCTTTAAGTTCCAATAGCCTCAAGATGTCTGAAGTCTCTTTACCACGAACTTGGGCTGCGCCACCGTGCAAAGCTGCATAAAGAACCCCCGACGACAGCCTACCCTTTACCGTACCTTTATCTGTCCATGGCGTGACCAATTCCAGTGTTTGCATGCCCGCCTAGGGTCCAACCATTGTATGGAGTTATCAAGCCACGAGCTTGGCAGCCCATGTTGATGCCATCTGCGGCTGACGTCTTCCCGCGGATCTGCGCGAAGTCGCGCAGGCACAACAAATTAGTCGAGTGCTGTTGGGCGACAGCATGTGGTATAGTATAGTGTAGAAAAGCAGCATAGGAGTTTGTATCCACACGGCTGGAGGTTTCGTTGGTCCGTCTTGTTGAAGCGTGGTTCGTCTACGATCCAAGCAAGCAGTACGTTTCATGCATGTGCGGCAGCCGATTCACTGCGGGTTCAAGCACGGACGATAGATTCAAGAGGGTTTGAGGTATTTGGGGTATGTCTGGAGGGGCTTTGTCGTTCCTGGTTCCCTGGCTAGGGAGATATCACCTCGTTGCTTCAGACAAGCAGCCGGAGAATGCAAACAGAAGCTCGGGCTCCGAATCGCCTGTGCAACTTGGGAGCTGGAGCAGCGGCTCGAGCATCCGATACAAGATCTGAGATCTTTGATCTCCTTGGTTTCTTGGCTTCGAACTCGTGACATGTCAGGAACCTCACGCGGTGACCCCACCGTTGATATTCACAACCAGCCCTCGCACGAATCTTAACAAACGAACCCTGCCCTCGAAGTCCTTAGAATCCCTTAGAAGCCTTCGCCTGAACCCTCCACTTCAAGCAGGTCGCGACCCGAAGGTCGACCGGGCGAAGGCTCGCTTCGCCATGGAAGGGAGCAGCTGTGCCGCTGTCAATGCTTGTTGCGTCTGGCCACCTGTGGAGCAGGGTGTTCAAGTCAGTGCCTCTTCCAGTCCACGGGCCAAGTTGCCTACCGTATCCTTTCATCCTGAACTGTAGCCGGAGTCTTGCGTGCAGTCGCCGGTCGAGGTGCAAAACACTCGGTCCTTCGCGCTTGTGGCAGACCTGAAGACTCGATGGCATGGGCAAGGTCAAGTTTTCGCCGGATGGATGCTTCCAGATGCACCTTGGCTCGCAGCGTGGTTCGTGTTGGGGTTCCGCCCGCGCAACGGCAGTTCTGTGGTTCGGCTGCATGTCTAGGCAAGTAGCTCCGGCCTTTCAAGCCTAGTCCGCCAACTTCATCGCGACCGGGGTGTGGAGACAGTGCCATGCGCAGAACTCTCCACACATTGTGTTTTTGGCTACCCAGAAAAGCCGAAAAGCACAGGTTGGAACTCTTCGAAAATGGACTCGCTGCTGTTTCTGCGAGGCATGGCGGGATGGCGAATGTGTCTAATGCAAGTTGGCCGGATTTGGCCGGGCTTGCTGCAACCAGCAGACTAGTGATCCCGAAAGTGCAGGCTTAGCACCAGTCGCAGCTCGGCATTTCGCTTATGGTTCTGAGCTGGCTCGGGTTCTCCGGCAACAGCGAGAGGTTTTTGTAGGCATCCTCAAGCCAATCTGAATTTGCCGCAACGGCGATTGAACGCCTTCTGCAGGCGTGGTGCCGTGGCGGCTGGCTCGCTGTGTCGCTCGTGTGGTTGATGCTGGCAGTCAGAAGGTCCAAGCCTTTGCACAGATGGGCCCTCCGCTGGCTGCTAGAATCTGCTAGAAGCTTCACCAGGCTTGTGGTGAGTCTTTGCATTCTCCCATTCGGTGCGTTGAGGTCATGTTTCTTGTTGGGAGTGCCATGTGGGCGGCGATTGGTTTTGGCCTCAGCTTTGGTGGGAATCCCAGTTTCGAACTTTCCCTGCTGCGTCGGCGTGGTATGTGGGATGGTCGAGGATGCTCACACAGGGTCAGTGCCTCCGGTGACGTGTGGCTTGGACGTCTCTGCCTCCCCGTCGCATCCTCGGTGCCTTCGGTCAGCAGTCGTAAGCGGAGAGGCCACCAGTTTGCGACGCCTCATACCTGGAGCAGCGCGCTGAGCTGACACCATGCCGGTTCTTGCAGCATGGCAGCATGTGGACTCCGCACCACCCTCTTCACAGACGCGCTCAAGCAGAGTGCGGGCCTCATGAACTTTGAAGCATCCAGCACATTCAGGAATCAGGGGCGGCATTGTGAAATCTTTGCCATTGGCCGAGCCTTTCGTTGTTTGTTTGCGGTGTGGATCGTCTCGGCCGTGTTCCTTCGACACACAGCTCGGTGGTGGAGATCAGTAGAAATGCCTGGAATGCAGGGTGAATTTTTGTCTGTCAATTCGTTTGTTCGAGTACCGCTAACGCTGGCGGTTGCTGACGCAGCCGCTTCGCTAGCGGTTGCTGACGCGGTTCCTGGTGTCCCTGAGTGGCGTTTTCTGTTTCCCGTGCACCTTAGTTTCTGCATCCTTCTCGGCCGAAGCAATCAGACATGATGACACATGGAGGTGTACAAATTTTTCGATTTCATCTTTATCTAGATTCGAGATCTTGCAAAACCCTTGCAAGCACGCAGCGGTAACTGTTCTAGGCTTCGCGAGCTCAGGCTCCTCAGGTCCCGTAAGCACCGCCGCGTCGAACGACTGACCGCAGGCGTGCAATTCAAGAGCTACACTGCTTTCTGCCATGCGCAATTGGCACCTAGTAGCATAAAGGGCTTGAGCCAAAACGTTTCGTTTTGGACAATATGTACAAATTACTAAAAACATGCAAAATTACACAAAGGTCTGCAGAGACAGCACATGTGATTGACACATGTATGCAAGCTCACAATACCTCAGCCGAGGCTCCACATGTGGCTGCATTAAAAGGTGGGGAGGGGCGCGTCCGTGACTCCAAAGAGTCCGCGGGGGCAAGCGGCTTAGGCGAAGCCCGCTAACGCGTCGCGATGCGTCGCGCAAACGAAACGGAAGAACGACCCTCCTACAACCACCTACCGCCCGACAGACCCTGGCACAGCGTGCCCGCTCAGTTCCATCGTTTTGGCATTGTGGCGGTGAGGCTGCCGAAGTTTCCAGGTGTCTCTGCGAAAGTCCTGGAAGCTACTCTACGGCTACGGCTACCTAAGCTGTACAGTGAAGCTACGTGGCAAAGACCTGCCAGCAGGGACCGCGCGCCGTGCACGAATTACACGGCGGCGACCGATCAGGGTCCGCACGCCAGCTGCTCCAGAGCTCACGCTGTGATGCGAGCCACAGGTGCCGGCTGGCTGAGAGAAGGGGCGCGGTCGCCATGACCGCGCAAAGTGATCTGCCGCAGGTCCCTCTGGAAACATCTGGAAACGCCTTCGGGGCCGTGATCGGGGCTGGCCGCGTTCCCAGCGCTCCCGATCCTCCCGCACCCGGTCCTGCTCATCGCGCGCAACCCGCATGCGCACATTGCGGGTAGAGGCGCTGCTCCCAGCCGCCTCTACTCCACGCGGGGCGCTGGGACCAGCCGCTCCCGACTCCGACTCGGAGTCGCTGGGACCTCATCGTAAAGGAGCTTCGTCCCATCCTTGAGCATAAGGCTGTCCCCTTTCTGCAGGAGGGCGATCCTACCATCGGCTGGGATCACTGTTTCCAGCTTCTTGGCGGCTGCCGCGGTGAGCTCGTAGTAGAAGCCCTCGCGCGACAGCCGGAACACTGCGCCCCGATAGTCCTGGCGGAACTCATCCGTAGATGTGGCCGCCGCCGGGAAGGCTGACGGCGGCAAGCGCGCTCCGTGAACAGCCGCGCGATGCAGGTACCACTGCACCGGCGTCGTAAACGACAGCTCGCACTTCTCACAAGGATAAGAGCCGTCAGCGCCTTGCTCTGGCGAGGCGTCAGCTTCCGCTGAAGGGGGAGCGATGACTGTTGCCGGAGGCGCCACGTAGCCGGCCGCCCGGAACTTCTCGAGAACCCTCGCGGCGGTGCCCTTCGCGAGCTTCGCAAGCTCGGCATCGGAAGAGCTCCCCTCCGACTTAGCATCCGGCGCGGCGCCGCCGGAGCATCGGGCGTCGAACCCATGGGGTCGTCCTTAGGACCCTTCGGCGCGGAGCTACCCGCCGCCGCCGGTGCAGCAGGACATGGGCTCATCCTTCGCCCCACGGCCGGCCCTGTCCATGAAAGCTTCTATCAAAGCCACCACACTGGTAACCCCGGCTTCAGCCGCGGGCTGCTGGATGAAGCCATCCGCGTGGGCGATCAAACGATCCGCGCCATGGAGGATGGTCTTAAACTCCTCGGCAACCTTCTCCCGAGCAAGGGAGGCATTCCTGGAGCCACTCGGCGCAGCCTTCAATTTTGGCCCACCAGCTTTATCCATAATCGCCGTGGCGCGGCCGAGCAGCTCCTCAATGGAGGCATCGGGATCTTCGAGCGCTGCTGCTGCCTCGGTGAGATCTGTTAGCCCAGTCCGGGCGCAGTGCTTCTCCTCGCCTGAAGCCGCGCTTCTCCGTCCACTGCTGTGGTTGGCGCCACCTCCCGGCTGCAAGCCATGGGCCACGATGCTCTCAACAAAAGTGAGCATCCGTGCCATGGTAAATGCAGCTGCCATGCGACCGGAGAGGGTCCGCAAGGGCACCAGGCGAGAGGCCAGCGGACATGTGCGCGAGCTCGTGTCGGCAGTCCTCCGAATCCCTTGAAAAAGGCCCGGAGGTGACCAGCGCGACTGGTGTCAAGTCGCCGCTTGGATGGCAGCCGACAATGAAGGCGCCAGGCGTCACGCCGAGCGCCTTGGATGATGTCGTTGATCGGCAGGTAGCCGCCGAGCAGGAGTCCGCCAGCAAACCCGCGCGACCCGTGCCGGAGGATCTTCACCACTGTCCTCTCAAGATCCTCCGCCCGATCACGGCCTTGTCGCACGCCCCTGCAAAGCGCTGCGGCGCACTATTTTCGCTGGAACCACCGGGCACGTTAACGTCGTCCTGGCGCTGTGAACCGCCGCCTCCTCCCTTCTGGCCATTTGCTGAGGCAGGCTCAAAAACAAGGCTAGGAGGAAAGAGGCTAAGCTACAAGCGTCACTTTCGGGAGGCGCTGCGGCACGGAGCGAGGAGTGAGTGAGAGGGGCGCAAGGCACTCTAGGCGAGGCTTGCTGCATTGCACTCCTACTTTCCTACACAGCAGACTGCAGACCCTGGCTCGCACTGACGACACGTACGAACGGACGGTCCAATCTTAATGGTTAGAGGAAACACCCCGTCAGCAGCGGGTAGTTCCAGCTTACTTCTCGGAGGTGTCCTTCGATTTTATTTGTTGTTGCGCCAGCTTGTATTTGCGGCAATACAATGTTTTCATTCGCGTTGCAAGCGCGGCTCGTATGCTGGCTCGAGGCCTCGGCGGCTCGCCAGGTCAAGCAGTCGTCTTCTTGGATCTCATGCATGCACATTCTTTCGGGCATGCAGCGTGCGTAATCAGGGAGTTAGTCTGTCGTTTAGAGACACGGCGTGGAGCTTCGCAGTCACGTGGACGCGATTGCTGTTTCGTTCAGTGACAGGCTGCGCAGCGCCAGCTCGTTTTCGTGTCGTATCGTAACGGTCCGAAAACGTTGGGATTCAGGTGCTGGCATGGCGTCGCAGGTCGTTCCTTGCGGCGGCGGCATCTCCGGCAAGAGCCCGCGGCAGCGCTCATGATGGGAACTGTCACATCGCTGAGCAGATCGGATTGGGTGGAGAAGGTGGTCAAGTTCTTTCAGGATACCGGGGTAGCTTCTGCTCTTGCTCGAGTACACGATAGAGGCGCAAGCGGATTCGCAGTTTGTGGAGCATGCAGTGCGGTGTCTGAAAGAGGTGGAAAGCCAAGTGGGCAGGTTTGTTGGAGACGTGGAATTCTGGGGAGGCCCCCGCTTTCTTTGGATTGGGCCGGCCGCATGGTGGATTCCCTTTACCCTTTGCACACCCAGGAGGGCCTGGACACTATAGGGTCGCGCAGCTCTCTCATGCGGGAGGCTTCCTCGAGGCTGTCTATTTTAGTCAGGAGGTGCGCGAGCCGCTGCCGCCGCAGTCGCCGGCGGTCTGTTGATCTCTCCAGGGTGTAGCCAGCGGTCAGGTTAGCATCTCGCCTGTTGGCCGCTATCCGCTGTTGCAGATAGATCTGCTCCGGAATATCCAGCTGCCTCTCCGCCTCTGCCGTGATATCATCCCACGACGTGGCATGTTGGAGGTGAAGTAGCCTCTCCGACATTTTGCCCATAGCCTTTGGGTTGCCCGGGCGCTGGGCCATTTGCACCAGGGCCCTATCCCTCGCCTCACGGACCATCGCCGCTAGCTCCGCCAGGTCGTCTTGCGGTTGCCTCTCCAGCTGCTCGAAGAGAGCAGCACATCTATCCGACGTCCCTAGCCAGTAGCGGAACTCCCTCGCCAAAACATGAACATCATGTTCTCTCGCCGCTCCTTGGTGGGAGCTCTCCTGTGAGGGCGGTCGCCCAATGTCCGTATCCGTCTCATAATCCTCGCTCGTGGTGCTAGCCCACGACTTAGCTGCCCTGCCCCTTCGGGCGGGAGGCTCCGTGGCCGCCCCTATCCGGGCGCCTGTCTGCCATGACCTCTAGCTAGGGAAACCCTGCCTAACTGGAAAGCTTCCTGGGCCGTTACCTCCAGCTACGAACCAGTCCTCCGCCTCATCTTCCACCTGCCGGCTTTCATTCTCACTGCCCAACAACTTGTGCGCGAAAGGCCTGCAAGCGACCACATCGCCAAGGCCTGCAAAATTTTTCTGGGCGAACTGACGGAGGAGCGTTTGCTCACGCTCGCCATGATTGCTGACGCGAACTCTGCGATTATGCGGCTCACCCGTTATGTGGATACTGAGGCCTACGACAGCACCGGGCTGCAACACGAAGTGATGACATGTGCGAACACTCTTCATCACCTCTTCATGGAGAATGCCTGCCGTGAACACGGGCTCATGATGCACATGCGAGAGGCCCTCCAGAAGCCGCTGGTGTATGTGGAGAGTCAGGGAGTCCCGCATAGTGTTGGCGGAAAAGCCGTGGCACTTCGGGCAGCTGAAACAGCTTGCGAAGCCAGGTTCCAGGCTTTCACAAAGTTCAGCTTGGCGACGATGATTGCAGAGTTTCCATGCTTCAGCATGCTGGCGGCCTTCGAGGCTTTTGTGCTCAGTGGCAAAAAGTTTGCAGCGTTGAGCCGGATGCGTTGGCTGGAGTCTTTGGCACGGCTGGGGAAATTCTGTGATGTAGACGAGCTTAAGGAGCTCACGGAGCAGATGCAGGCTTGGTTTGGATGCGCGCACATTCGCTTATTCTTATATGATAACGCGGCCCGGGCGGTCTTCGAGCACACTGACTGCAACGTCTTCCAGGCTTGGCGCAAGGTCTCCTGCCAGCGGCCGGCTGCAACAGCCTTGCACGAGGCGTTACTGCGTCTCGGCATCATGAACGGCTGCACCGCATCAGGTGTGGAGCAGACCTTTGCGAAGCAGTCGCAGCTCTTCACGAAGCACCGCAGAAAAATGCATGTTTCCCTCGAGTGCGATGAGACGGTGCTAGCGGGAGACCTCGTGAGTGAAGAGTGCCGTGTCGTGTCCGATGAGAAGATTTGCCTGCAGGCGGCTCGCATTTGGCTGCGGCTTCGCTACGAAGCGAAGATCGCAACAGCACGTCGCATGACGAAAGGCCTGAAACGGACAGTGACAAAGAACCTGGGCAAGATGTCGGCTGCAACAGCCACGCAGTGGAAACTCCGAGCGCGACAAAAGCTCAGCCAGGCCGTGAAGCAGCGTGGCTTGAGAGATGTGAGCTCGTTGGAGAGGATTATCCGCTTTCCTTGTGGACACGCGGGCTGGAGCAGCGCTCACGAAGCGGAACTGGCCTTCCAGAAAAACAAGTTGCTGGAGAAGAAGATGCAGGCATCCCAGGCCGGTATGTTGCTAGAGGCCGAGGAGCGGACGATCGCGGCTGACAAGCCGAAGTGGTTGAGGAGGCAAGCACAAAACACCCACAAGGAGGCCCTGAAGGAGAAACGGTTGAGCGACGTGGACCTCACTGCAGACCGCCAGTGGAAGTTGGCAGATGTCCTGGGAGGGCAGGTCAGACTAAGTTAAAATTATGTGGATAGGAGCTGAGCAAGGCACTTCGTGTAATATCAGTCAATGAAACTCCCGTCACGTAGTGGCGATTGAGCAGGGGCTCGAGCATTTGCGGCCAGCGGCGACGAGGTTCTGCTTGCGCGTGGAAGAGACGGCTGAAACAGCTTCAGTGTGCATTGTCAAGAACCCAGCAGAGGTGCCGAGGCGGATGGCATGGGTGTTGACGCTGTATGGAGGAGCCGCCGTGAATCCGGGCTTCGTCCAGAGCATGGGCAAGAAAGGCGAGCTCCTGCAGTTCGAGGCCGCGGTCCGGAAAGCAAAAGTGGGTATTTGGCTGACGCCCGCTTTTGTGGCAGAAGCACCTCGCATTGCTGCGATGCTGCGACAAGCAGTGAGGCACCCTGGGAGCCAGTGGCAGCTACAAGCTGACGAGAACAGCTTCTGGAGCATCCGCGGCGAAGCGGTTGCTATCGCCGCGGCGTCGGATAGAGGCCTGATACAGAGGCTTAAACGTCGCTGTGCAGGCACGCGGAAGCAGAAGACGGTGATGTCTGCTCAGGGCTTCCTGAAATCGCAGACAAAGCTAATCCTAAAAGTATGCAAACTTCGGTGCTAGGAACCTTTGTCTTCTAATCCCTACAGTCGGCTGCAGCAGCCGGGCACACAGCGAAAGCGCTGAGGTTTTTCAATCTCTAGAGTCGGCTGCAACAGCCGGGGCGCACAGCCACAGCACTCAGAGTCTGTACAGTCTGGGGAACATGGGGAAGAAGATGGGGACGATCTTTGGGGAAAAAGAGGCCGCTATTCATCGAGCGGGGCAAGCCTAAAGTCCAGTCCAGGTCCAAGGCGCCCAAAGGTCAAATAAAAAAAAAAAGTATTGACTTAGACAAAGGGGTACTGTTTTAACGACCCCCGCCAGCAGCAGGGGTCCTTAAAACAGTCGCGCACGTGCACGACTGTTTTAAGCCCCCCCGCTGGGACCCTTCCTGATTGTTTTACCGACCCCCGCCGCCAGGGGGGGTCCGTAAAACAGTCCGGACCCTATGCCAGCCCCCCCCCTTAAAACAGTCACGCACGTGCACGACTGTTTTAAGGACCCCCGCCGCCAGCAGGGGTCCGTAAAACAGTCCCCCCTTGTCTAAGTCTATGCTTTTTTTTGGGCCCCTTAAAACAGTCACGCGCGTGCACGACTGTTTTAAGGACCCCCGCCGGCGGGGGGGGTCCGTAGAACTGTCTAATTGAACCCCAGCCGGCTGGAACAGCCAAGTCGTTTGCCACCTGAGTTTTTGCCGGTGTGCGAGACACTCTTGCCTTTGCTGTGCTCCCCGCAGCTGCTCTCAAGAAAGTGTGGAATTCTTATTTTTCGCCGGCTTTAACAGGCGAGGTCCTTGAACCTGGGCCATGGCCGGGAAACGGAAGCCGGAATCTCAGGATCCGCCGGAGGATCCCCCAGAAGAGGAAGGGAGCCGAAAGAGGACGAAGAAG